CTTATATATGTAGTTGGAGACTCCTAACTGAAACAATAAGAGTTCGAGCAATTCAAGGATGCTAAATTACAAACAAGTCATTAATTCAGGATTTAGATTATCAGAGAAAAAAATGACTTGAAGAAGAGGAACTTAAAACTAAACATTATGTATGTCTAATGAATATTATGATCAGCTAATGAGACTTCAAACTCATCATGAAATTTTGTCATAGTTTGTGTTACATGCTAAATACATTTCTTAAAAAATACTGAGGTTTACAAAGATCAAATTTATGCAGAACGGGATCTTTATCAAACCTACTCATGTTGAATTCTCAAAAAAATAATAAATTAAGATATGATTAGATTTACTAGCAATCTAAATACATCCTTACCATTTTTCTGCTTCTAGATAGTCCTTTTTGGTAAAATGAATCAAAGCCTCCAAGGCATGAGCTTCAGCGAGGTCAGGATAAGAAGAGAGAAGGTCTTCCATAATCTATAAAGTATATGTCTGTCAATTCCCTATTCAGATAAAAATAACTTCTAACTTAAAAAAAAAAACCCTCAGTTTTAATGAAAACACCAACCTTTGAAGCCTCATCTAATGAGCCTTTGTTCAGATAGGCCAAGCCTTTGAGAACCAAAAGTCCTGGGATATTATTTGCATCAGAAACCTAGAAAATAATTGCAAAGACTTGCTACAAATCTCCTACAACACAATGCAACGTTTGCTTTAAAGAAGGACCATAGAATAAAAACTTAAAGATCCTGATTTCTATTACTATTAACTTTCATTCTTTGTAAATTTTTTATTAAAGAAAATTTCAGATACATTAAAAAATTAGAGAATAGTAAACCCACATGTACTCATCATCCAGTTTTAAAATTATTAACTCAAAGCCAGTCTTTTCTCATCTTTACCTCCACCCATTTCACCTCACACCTGATTAGATTATTCCAGAAATAACTTTCCATCTGATATGTAAAAATTAAGTACTTTTCTACTAACATAACTGTACTACCATTATAAACACATAAGCAAAACCAACAATACATCCTTAATATCAAATAATTAGCCAGTGTTCAAATTTACCAGCTGTCTCCCCAAAAATTTAAATAATTATTTTAATCAAAATCCAAATAAGGTACATACTTTTCAATTGGCTGATATATCTCAAGTCTTTTTTAATCTATAGGGTTCCCTTCCATCTCTTTTTTTTTTTCTCCCTGACAATTTAACTGTTGAAAACTATGGGCCATTATCACAGTTTCTCACAGTCTGGTAATTGCTGAATGTATTCTCATGGTATTGACATGTTCCTTGGTCCCTTGTATCTTCTATAAGTTAGCAGGTCTAGAAGTTTGATCTGATTCAGGTTTGATGGTCTGGAAGGAATACCTCACGTGCACTTGCACCTGGTTATGTGTGGTTGTCTTTTTTCTCATGATGTTAGCAGCCATTGGTCTCCAATGCCTAGATCTATTAATTCATTGTGGATTGCAAAATGGTGATTTTCTTTCATTCCTTCTTTCCTTATCTGATGTGATACTTAAAGAGAAAATTTCCCTCCTCTCATTTTCTACTTGAGTATTCTGAGGAAAAGTTCATAACAGAAAAGCAGGATAAATACTTTGATTCTTTCCAATCGGTTCCTTAGCATCCTCCAAAAATTTATGGAGGATATTTCGTGATTTTTTTTTTTGTAACATCACTAACACATGGATTTAAACATAAATGATGTCTTAATCCACGGCAGTTATTAGTGCTCAAACTATTCCTCTTTAGCCTGTAAAAAATTAATTCTTGCTTGTTCCTCAGCCCTTCTGACATAATTCTAACAGCCTTATACAGTTTCTTTGCTTTCCAACATTATAAAATGTTCTGGGCTCACCTTGCACATTTTCTGTCTCAGACCTGGAGTCTACCAGTTCTTCAAGAAACTTTTCATTTTGTTTTTTTGGGGTTTGGTTTGTTTTTTGTTAAAAAAAAAAAAAGCATTGGAGAGACCTCTACAAAGCATTCACACATTATTGGTGGAAGACAAGTAGAAAGAAATTAAAGGATCCTGACAACTGTTCTAATTTTAAGGAAATAC